TAGCATGGCAAGTTTCAGCTTTTTTGGAATCAAACTACGCCGACACTGGGCGAAAAACTCTGATATTATACTAGACACCGGTTTTAAAAAAAGTGAATTAGTGATGAAGGAGTGAATTGACAAGACATACACCATTCGAAAGCTAATCGCCTGAGATTTTAGCATGGCAAGTTTCAGCTTTTTTGGAATCAAACTACGCCGACACTGGGCGAAAAACTCTGATATTATACTAGACACCGGTTTTAAAAAAAGTGAATTAGTGATGAAGGAGTGAATTGACAAGACATACACCATTCGAAAGCTAATCGCCTGAGATTTTAGCATGGCAAGTTTCAGCATTTTTGGAATCAAACTACGCCCACACTGGGCGAAACACTCTGATATTATACTAGACACCGGTTTTAAAAAAAGTGAATTAGTGATGAAGGAGTGAATTGACAAGACATACACCATTCGAAAGCTAATCGCCTGAGATTTTAGCATGGCAAGTTTCAGCTTTTTTGGAATCAAACTACGCCGACACTGGGCGAAAAACTCTGATATTATACTAGACACCGGTTTTAAAAAAAGTGAATTAGTGATGAAGGAGTGAATTGACAAGACATACACCATTCGAAAGCTAATCGCCTGAGATTTTAGCATGGCAAGTTTCAGCATTTTTGGAATCAAACTACGCCCACACTGGGCGAAACACTCTGATATTATACTAGACACCGGTTTTAAAAAAAGTGAATTAGTGATGAAGGAGTGAATTGACAAGACATACACCATTCGAAAGCTAATCGCCTGAGATTTTAGCATGGCAAGTTTCAGCTTTTTTGGAATCAAACTACGCCGACACTGGGCGAAAAACTCTGATATTATACTAGACACCGGTTTTAAAAAAAGTGAATTAGTGATGAAGGAGTGAATTGACAAGACATACACCATTCGAAAGCTAATCGCCTGAGATTTTAGCATGGCAAGTTTCAGCTTTTTTGGAATCAAACTACGCCGACACTGGGCGAAAAACTCTGATATTATACTAGACACCGGTTTTAAAAAAAGTGAATTAGTGATGAAGGAGTGAATTGACAAGACATACACCATTCGAAAGCTAATCGCCTGAGATTTTAGCATGGCAAGTTTCAGCTTTTTTGGAATCAAACTACGCCGACACTGGGCGAAAAACACTGATATTATACTAGACACCGGTTTTAAAAAAAGTGAATTAGTGATGAAGGAGTGAATTGACAAGACATACACCATTCGAAAGCTAATCGCCTGAGATTTTAGCATGGCAAGTTTCAGCTTTTTTGGAATCAAACTACGCCGACACTGGGCGAAAAACACTGATATTATACTAGACACCGGTTTT